TATTATTATTATTATTATTATTATTATTATTATTATTATTATTATTATATTACTCACTATTACTATTATTATTATTATTATTATTATTATTATTATTATTATTATTATTATTATTATTATTATTGTTATTATTATTATTACCTGGCCGGGAGTTCTGCCTCACTACTCCAGTGTACTTTGTCTGGTCAAATTTTGGTGGGTTGTCATTTATATCCTCCACATATATTGTAACAGCATATGGGCCTTTTACTTTATCTCCCTTTTCATCCAGACTTTCCACCTTTATTTGAAAAAAAATTTTAAACATCATATAGATAAATTAAAAGATATAAATGAGCATCTGGACATCAAATGCTGAGACATTCTTACTGTGAGGCAAATCTGGTGAGAGCCATCACTGGCTGGCTCTGTCTACAAGGACAAACTAACCACAGGAGCTCACTGACCATAATTCACCACAGTACCTAAAGCCAAGGAAACAAAATAACCTGCTCCTGATGACACTTTTCAGAGGGTAATTTCTCACTTACAGTCTCAGCAGACTAGTATTCTTGCATAGTTAAGGCTTCATGATTTTCTTTAAATAGAAATAGATACTTTCTAAAGAGCAGGGGAAAACCCAACACGATACAGAGAACTCAACTGTGTTATTGTAAATATCAGCCAGAGAAATAGCCTGATCTAACATTTTGTAAAGAAAACTTAACTCTTAGTTCTAATTGCATTTTTGTCCCAAGGAATTTGACTTATTTTTCATACTTCTTTGACTTTAAGCACCAAATATATGTTATAATATATATAATACACATAATGTATGTAATATACATAATATAATACTGTATAATATTTAATAATATAGTGCATATAAAGCAGCAAGTACATATTGTATACTCTGGAGCCCTGAAGACATGAAGGACATGGAGCTCTTAGAATGAGTTGAGAGGAGGGTCGCAAAGATAATTAGAGGGCTGGAGCACCTCTCCTATGAACACAGGCTGAGAGACTTCATAGAATCATAGAACAGTCTGAGTTGGAAGGGACCTTAAAGATCACCTAGTTCCACCCTCTCTTAATGGTTCAGCCTAGAGAAGACAAGACTCCATGAAGACCTCATAGTGGTGGCCTTCCAGTATCTGAAGGGGGCCTACAGGAAATCTGGGGAGGGACTTTTTACAAGGTCTTGTAGTGAGAAGACATGGGATAATGGCTTTGAACTGAAGAAGGGTAGACTTAGGTTAGACACTAGGAGAAAATTCTTCACTGTGAGGGTGGTGAGACACTGGAACAGGCTGCCCAGGGAAGTTGTGGATGCCACATCTCTGGAAATGTTCACGGGCAAGTTGGATGGGGTTTGGAGCAACTTGGTCTATACTAGGAGATGTTCCTGCCCATGCAAGGGGTTGAAACTAGATGGTCTTTTGGGTCTCTTCCTACCCAAACCATGCTATGATTCTATGATCATGTCTGCTAGACTGTATTTTTGTCTGCACATAATAGATTGAATAATTAGTAATTATGACTATTCAATAATAATTTTTCAGTTCTGTCATCACTTCTTCTGGTATGTAAAGGATTCCTGTGTTTAGGGTTAATAACTCTGGGGGTATAAAATTGTCTTCTCTAATTCCAGCCCAAGGACGTTTTAGAACTGAGAACATGAAAGCATAAACCTGAGTGCCAGGCTTTAAAAAGGTAGTTAAGGCTAGCTATAACATCACTGTGGACTTTGCTCAGATATTGGTGCTCTCACTATCATGTTCTTGTCAGTTGCTAGTGTCTTAGAAAAATATAATACCATTTTTTACACAGAGTAAGAGCATAAGGCTATACTGAGACCAAAAAGTCATCTACTCTCCTGTCGCATTCCCAACAGTGTTTATGATGAGATCCTTAATGAAAAGAGTGTAACAGTAGGACAAGTACACAGTGCTTTTTCCTCTAATAGCCTTCAAAACCTGTCAAACATCTTTCTGTTCTTACCTAACAGAGGTTAGATCAGTGTCCCTGTGTCTAAATGTCATTTACTCACATAATTTGTTGCTAAGTAGATTGTAATCTTCCTAAGTAGACTACAATAGTTTAATTCCTCATTCTAGCCATGGAGTTCACCCTATCAGGTGTTATCCCTATCCAGGGATAGATAACAAGAGAATCTAATTTATGGTGCTAGATTTCAATTCCAGTCAAGTGTCCTCCTCCTTTTAAAAGAATGAAAGGATTGGTGCTGGCATCAGGGTGATTTTTGTTTTCTTGACATAACCTTCCTGTGCTAAGGAGCATTTCCTTGTGCAAAGACTTTCAGAACTGTAAAACCATACCAGCAAAGTTCAATACTAAGAATGAAAAAGCTGTCTGCAAACACAGACAAAAGAAACAATTTGAAATGTCAAGAGATTTCCAATAATTTCAGGTTTACAAAAAAACCCAACAAAAACACAAAACAAACAAAACCCCCAAACAAACAAACAAAAAAAAAGGATAACTCTCCTGTCTTATTTTTCATTGTTTAATGTTTGGGGTTTTTTACCTGCAGCTTGTGCACTGGTTTGGTCTCCCAGTCCAGAGACCCATTGAGATACAGGATGCCTGTCCGTGGCCCAATGTCAATTATTCCATCTTTTTCACCACTCAGTCTGAAAGTCACAGCAGGTGGCTCAAGTGTGAACTAGAAAGGATAAAAATCAGAGGGAAAAATCATCCTTTGTTACACATGTTCACTATTATCTAAATAATTTCAAGCCTTTGTGTCTTTCAAAATCTATTGCCAACAATGTGCTTGGCTGGGGGAATGATATTCCAAGTGTCTGATCAAACAAATCTGCTCTTTTCTGATCCTCAGCAGAGGAGTTTTTGCATTATTCCCTGAATGCTGAAGGAAATCCTAACTGTGGTTTCTTTCCAAAGCAAACGTCTGCTTAGGAAAGGGCTTTGTCTGAGAAAGGGAATGGAAAAAAATAACACACATCCTCCATTTGCCCTGGAGCTGTATCTGTCTTTTTGTGGTTATGGTTTTAGGAAGAAAACCTCAGAGCTGAAGGAAAATGATGACATAAGTTACATGAAAACCCATTCCCTAGGAATTCTGATTTTATTAATCCCTGTCTTAAGATATGCTGTTAAAATGTGCTTGAGAGAACAGGGTTGTCTCCTGAATTTTGGATGTAGACTCTTGAATTCCCGGGTAGAGGAAGTCAAAGTTAATTTCAGATCCTCTTGGGGGACTGTTCTTCCCACCAACACGGATGAGAACACTGCCCACGTGGACAGTGTTTGCAAATTTGACTGGAGAGGATACCAAGAGCCACTTGATTACCTGGTAAATGAAGCGCATTCCCCCTCCTTCTGGAATATAGAAATCCATGTCCTTCAGAGGCCCACTAACATGCAGGTCCCCCAAATTCTGGCACAGAGCCTGTGACAGAGACAATCATAGAGTCATAGAACGTCAGGTTGGAAGGGACCTCAAGGATCATCTGATCCAAGCCTTTTAGGACTAAAGGGATGGAGGAAGCAGCTGGGGGATGTCTGCAGCCACCATGTGTGAATAGCAGTTATTCATCACTGAGCCTCTTCCAAGTTATTTTCCTGTAGTGTAATGGGAGAGACTCTTGCTGGTTTGCACTGAACATCTCCAGGTTCTTCAGTGCACATCCATTTTTCAAAGCAGTGTTATTTTTTTAACTAATTTGAAAACAAACATTTGGCCCCCATTCTAACCACTACATAATTACATGAGATTTGAACTACTTCCAAGAGCAAACAGAAGCACCAAAGAGCTGAGTGTAGACTGAGAGCAGGAGGAAACTCATAAAAGCATTTCTGGATCACCTCTGTATCCCCAGCAGGCCCAGCCACGTCCCATCCAGGAGCTGCACAGACCCCCAGCCACAAGTGCATTGGGAAACCCAACACCACACCTGGGTGTGGGGGGGAATTTGGGCTGCACCCCTCATAATTTCCTCAATAAAACCAAACCTTTTTGCTAAAGGCAAAAGGTGGACCTCCCCAGGCTCCCTACCCCACCACCCTCACTGATCTGGGCAAGCTACTCAGGTCCTGTGCCTTCACATCTGTTGCATGTGACTGCAAACCATAGCCAGAGCAAAACAAAGTCCTACTGATCTTTGGCTTCTACTTCATGGCAAAAATGTCATGAAAATCTGCCTCAGCTTCTGTTTTCTTCCTAATGGCTGGCAATGCCTTCGCATGGTGTTTTTGTGGCAAATTTCAAAGGAGTCTTATGTTAATTTTACAACCACCTCCTCCCTATGCCCAAAGACCTCAGGACACACTCTTGCCCTAATGTTTCAAGCTTGTTCTTGTTTTCAAACAAATAAACAAACAAGCAAATAAAACAAAAAAAAACAACCAAAAAACCACACACCCAAACTAAACCAAAACAGCCTTTACATAAAAGACAATTCAGCCTACTGTTCAGATAATCTACCTGCTTCTCCAAAGGCCAATGAATGTCTACTCTTCTCTCCCTGACACCCAGATCTTGCCAATGCTGAGGAGCTGCTGGCCAGAATTAGGGCTCCATCATTTGGCTGCATAGCTAAAACTCACTTTCTTCTGCTGCAAAAATGACTTTATTCTGATTTATAAATTCAGAATGTCATGGCCACCCTGCCCATCACTCCATGGAGTCAAGGACTCTCTGGGAGTGCATGTTTTCTGATGCACGACTTTTCCCCTGGATTTGGTCCTGCTGCTGCTGGGACAGCTATTCAGCCTCTCACAGAAAACACAGCCTACATATTACCAAGGGAAAACTTCATTCTGACAAATAGACAACTAAGTTCAACGAAGGCGCTGCTCTGTATGTCTGTGTCACAAGTGGTGTTGGAATGACACCAGATTCTGATTAATTATAGCCAGAGATGCTGCCCTCCTCACTTACAAGGGTTTGTGACTCTTTTTGCAAGCAGCAAAACTAGAATATTGTGAGAATGGAGGAAGGAAGGATGCTGGTTAGCACTGGTACAGTAGAAAAATATCCCAAAAAGCTGTGTAATAGGTACACATACTAGGAAACAAAACCTTACAGCTACTCTTTACTGGTTTTGCTCAGTGCAGGACCCAGGATCTCACCTGCTACACTGTCCCCATGTCACACTGCTGGGCACAACCTGGCTCCCCGAGGGCCATTTTGTGGAGGGGTTTTGCTCGTGCATGTTCCTCACCAGGGAGGAACAAAAAGGCTGACACCATAAAACCCAAAAGGTTCAAAGTGCAGGCTGTGAAGCAAGTAAGAGATATCTCTTCCTGTCGATTAAAATTACTTTATGTGGACCATAAATATTTCCAAACGTATGTCTACAGTATGAATCACAACTCAGGGGCCTAAAGGGGAAATGGGGCTTTCCCCTTGGCCAGTGTCTGCTGACATCCCTTTTGAAGGCTGTGCCACCTGCAGAGTGACTCCAGGGGGGACAGCTCTGGCATGGGCAGCAGCTCTTGAAATGGGGAGGGGAAACTTGCTATTGCACATCAATCCCACCCCCAGGGTCTCCATATTCTGAGAATTTGTTTTATTATTCTTTTCTGTAGACCTGAATTTGACTCTTTTCTTATCTTTTCTGTTGATTTCAATGGTAAAGTAGAAACCACCACTGTAGCCTTTACAGACATCAATAAATATATTTAATTCAATAGATGAGGTCCATAAATAACATAATTAACACATTTTAGCTCCAGAAAGCCTTCTGAAAAGGGATTCACATAGATGGAATAATGAGGATAAATAATTCATATACATGGTTTAAATACTATGCCATTATATGTCTTAGAATATGTCTTAGAACACATTTCAGATGCCAGCACATGTACAGATTATAATACATATGAACATATGATACAGATGTCTTCACTATTTGATGATTTGTTGCAGTATTTTAAAATATTTTCTAGCATGAAATCCACTAACTGGAAAAATAATTTTCTAAGAAGGAAGTACAAGAGGCAAAATAGGTAAATTGGTTTCTTCTAGGTTTTTTAATAATTTTTTTTTCCTGATGATTGACACATCTCTTTAACTTTTGGCCAGGGGGTCACAGGCATGTTGGAGCCAAGCTCCCACAGCCAGCACTGCAGCCACCAGCCTGACCTGCCCCTCACAGCTGCTAGGCAACCTTTGCAGTTTGCTCCCAGATAAACACAGGGAAAGCTGTAACTCACCAAGTGAATGACGAGCAGATATTGAAGTCCACACAGCTTAAACATACTGGCATATGCTTCGTTTCAGCTCCTGCAAAGAAGAGGTGATAGGCGCTTTAACCCCATGGAGTTGGCCCAGTCTATCTGCAAATAAAGGCTACAGCTAAAGCTTCCCCAAAGCTGTCAGGAGAAAGCAGCTGAGGTGTGAGTTCTGAAGGACTGGGAGTAGCTCTGCCCATGAGATACCAGACCACTGCCATCACCAGGCTGGCCAGGAAGGTCATGCCCATCAGGTCTGCCCCCAGTGGTGCAGATGATGCCACATGTTGTGAGAGCCTCTAACAGCTGCCAGAGATTGAAACTGATGCACAGCTTCAAGCCATTCAATCTCATTGTTGCAATGATGCTATGTCACGCAAGCCCCGTTTTCATTTATGTTTTGCTGAAGACAATAACAAGTTCACAGGAAACACTATAACCACAAGGAGATGAAGGTCTTGCAAGGACCATCCTGAAGCCTCTGTCTTCCAGCTACAAAAAACAACTGTTGAGTGCAGTTTGCTGAGGACAGCTGGAGGTGATTGCACCCCTCAAACAACGTGGCTGCTGGAAAGGAAGTTTCCAAGTCCAAGGAGCACTGCCTGCCTTGAATTTCAAAAAATGCTGAGCACACGCTGCAGTGACGTGTTACATCCTCCTGGAAACTCGATGGGCTCCTCAAAATTGAAATTTTGCTTTCTCGCTACTTCTATATTTTAACAGAAAGGATGTGGCCTGTTCTGAAGAGGGGTGAAGCTGGGGTACAGTGCTGCCATCTTCAGTGTTGCTCCATTTTCCTTGGCTCACGTCTCAGGTATCCTTCAGCCACCACAGCTCTGTCCCATGAAGGCTCCCAGGGAGAAGAAGGCAGCGTAAAGGCACAGTTCTCTCCAGATGCCTTCCTGCTTGGGCTTCCCATGACCCCTTTCCCCCTCACCCCCCTTTTCTTTCCTCAACAGCCAACCAAAAAGGGGGACTGTAGATATAGAAACTGCTGCCCACACTGCTTGCTTTTGTCTTCAGCACTCTTTTTAGGTCATGCCACAGGACTTTATCTTGCAAGTCGCACTCTGAGCAAAGTCTTACTGTGTGTGCAGCCCTTCAAAGTTACTGGGCTCTTTTCTGGGCTGGGAGCTAGCTGTGTGAGTACTGGAAAATAAAATTACACTCCTTTGATACCAGAGGTGGTCAGCAAAATAATTAAATTTGCTGGGGAACAAGGGCTGAAGGTGAGGCCCCTGTAGCTACCTTCAGCCACAAGAGCTGGGCCAGGCACAGGCAAGAAAAAGGGACAGAGAAGACCCTTTGAACTACCTGAGAAGACACTTTGAGCCAAGACACAGCAGTGGAAATACGACCATTTCTTAGGCTATGGGTTTGGATGGTAAGTGCCTCCGCTGGTCCCCTGCTTTGAATATAAATATAATTCCCTAATGTCATGCCATTTTCAGTGCCTGTTGCAAGGCCAGGATGAGAGGCTTAATCAGCCCTCAAACATTCATTCCTGCCTGGAAGCTGCTACCAAGTCTCATGAAGCATCACACTGCCAAGGACCAGAGCCCCAAAATACATACTCTACTGCCACTCAGAACAGTTTCAGTATATATAAACTCATGCAAAAGTTTTCAGTAATAGTTTCAGAATTAGAATAGGATCAACTTGACTAAAAGCAGCCTGAGATCTGGCTGAGGACTGGAGCAATATTTTCCCCTTCATTTCTTACTTTCATCTTGGTGCTATATCCTCAATAATTCTATATCGTTCCCCTGCCTGAACAGAAAGCTCTAGGATAACCAACATACAAATATCGCAGCAACTTTCAATAATAAACACTCAGAACAACGAACATTCCCAGAGGTTAAAGATCAGTAACAATCACAAGTACTTGGTTCCATGAGAAAAAAAAACACCACAAAAAACACAAAAAAACCACAACAAATTATTTTCTTAAATGATTGATTTCAGATGTCCAAATTCAGTAAAGAAAAAACAGAGGAAATTGATCCAAATCAAACACAAACCAGACTAAGCCTTAGCACAGCAGTCATCCATTTCACAAGGACAGCTGAGTTCCTAACACTGCCAGAAAAGCCTTCACCAGAACCCTTGCTTCAGCTTTTAAAATCTTTCCTCAAAATGAGTTAGATCATCCCTTACCTGTGGCATGAGAGGCTTATTTTGCTCTAAAAATGCTTCTTCCTTTCAGCAGTGGCAGTCACCTTTGCGCAGGTAGTGTCCTGTGCACACAGTTTATAGTTCCTCCTAGAGTTTCAGCAGCTCAAACATTAACAGCATTGAGAATTATTGATTCTTAATGACTAGGTGTGGTATGAAACAGCAGCCACATAAGGAAGCAACGTAACTCCAAGATCGTTTTCGGCCTTCAGTATCTTTATGTCCTTTGGGATTTTCTTGCTGAATGCAATATTTTCAGTGGAGCTGCAAGGAATGAACACAGGGACCACAGGTTGGAGCTTCAGGGGAAAATTTGTCATTTCTATAGGAAAGGAGGCGGAAAGGAGTAGGCATGGGCCTTGGGTGAATGTTTTCTACTTGCCTAGTAGCAGGGATAATTCCCATTCAGAGACAAGAATTCGGACATAAAGGTGACATGTTTTCACTCTGCAGTTCTGTGCATGGGAAGGACACAGCCAAGTTAGGACAATACTTCATCAGTCATCAACTAGAAAGTTCAAATTCTGTCTGAGCTCTGCAACAAAGTTACTTTCAGTATCATTGAACAAATTACTGCACTTGGCCATTTCCAGATACTCAGCTCACAATGGATGTAATCATTTCCTCACCCCTCATCTTTCATATCTGGTGGGGCTTTCAGCCCTCCCAGGGAACCAGTCCCTGCTAGTCTCTGCTTTATAGCACCAGTGGTAGGGGGAACTGAAATCAGTAAGACTGTAAAGGACTATGTTAAAATAGGCAATAAACAAAACATATTAGGAAAGAACTGAAGTTTTTTAAAAAAAATCTTAAACCCTAAAATGTTCTGCTTTGTGCTAACTCACTCTTTAATATCATGCGTATTTCAGTAGTTTTGAATAGACTAGTTTTATTCTCTCATGAAATGTTACTTTTCATCCAGGTTCTAACTGCTGCTCTGTTTCCTCAGTATGTTAGGCTGCTCTTGAGCATTGTTAAATTATGTGTGCAGCACTTTAAGTATTTTCCAATCAAAGAAAGAAGCATTTAGAATCACTTGCAGCTGGGAAGTGTACAATTCTCAGAAAGGTGAGCTTTCTATTTTTTCTTCAGATCACACTTTTTCCTAAAAAGCAGCATTGGTTTCTCCAAGAAAAAAAACCCTCTAGACTGTACTTTCAGCATGAGTTCAAACACAACTGTTCTCCATTTGCTCTTGTATTCAGAATGATTCAGACTTTCTCAAAGCTGCCTGCTAGCAGTGAGTTATCTTTAGACCACAGCTCAAAGCCAACAGTTTCCATTAAAACATTTGAACTCATTGTCAGTGATTTCAAAGTCAATATAATAAGGGGAAATAAACTGAACTTCTTGGAAATATGTTGACTCTAAGTTATTTACATGCAGATTAATTATGTAGTACTTGGATATGAATGAGAAGTACTTTCAGCATGTGAAGTATAAATTTCAAAACAGCCAGAATTCATGCTGCAATAACAAATTCACATAAACAAATCCCTAACATTATTTTTATTCCATCTGTACATGACAAGTGCAGAATCATTCAAGTCCTGATGTCAGAAGTCGGAGCCTCATAAACAAGTTTGATGTTTGTCTCTCAAATGCTAGAGTCTCTGCTTAGACGTCCAGTTATTAGGAAGGGCAGTGGCTTACTTGAAATACAAATTTAAGATACCTAGCATGCTTCATTGAATGCCTATATTTTTTAAAGTCACTGGAAGAGGTGAGCCTGCTCATCTCTAGTGTCTTGCTCTGGCTGAAAAAAACTTCCCAGCTGCAGAGCAACTGCTTACAGGTTGTAACCACGCAGGAAAAAACAAATCTCCCATGTCAAGTATATTACAAAGTCCAGAAGCACTTAAGGCTTTACAACAGTCATGACATGGTGCCACAGATAAAATCACAAGAAGAAACTCAGCAGTGAGACTGGTGCCTTAAGCCAGCTGCTTCTCTGAGTAAATCTGATGAAAAGAAGGCAAACGTCCAGGTGTTTGTTGTGTGAATCATTGTCCAACGAGTCAGTTTTTCCAGAAACAACTCTTCTCATGTCATTAGTCACAACCTTTTCAGTCTTCCCACTTATCAGTTTTGTTGTTCCTCTCTTGCTCCTTTTTCATTCTTTGTCTTTGTACTTTTACTCCTTGTTTTGATTCATTGTTGTGTCTCCATGTAACTCTTCCATTTCCCAAACTAACAAGACTTCCCTGACCTCAGCTTCTTTCCCTTTCTGCTTGTTTAGAAAATATTTATTTTATGGATCTTGTAGGGTAAGATAATGTCAAAACAGGTGTCAAAATAAGCTGGCACCAGCCGAGAAAAAAAGAAGCATAGAAAAATAAAGCCTAAAAGACATTCAGGTTTCTGTTTATCTAATTCCTTTACCTCTCCTTAGGCAAAATTAGTGACACCTGCAATCTCCCTGGTTTTAAAAAAAGCAAATAATGGCCACTGCTAGTCTCCATAGGTAATCCATTGTGGTACTTCCAGACATCATTCACATAGTTGTCCTCTGTCAGTCTTCACTGATGAGCTGTGCCTTAGGTTCTCCCAGGTTACCCCTCCCAGTGCTGCTGACTGGCAGGCTCTTACAAACAATGTTTGCCAAGCAATACGACTCCTACGAATGTTCTTACAAAGTATTTGTATGTTATTTGCCTTGCATTGGTTGTTGCACTTCCATAATTCTGATTTTGTCTGTATTTGCCTATGCTATATACTCACTTTTAGTGACTTGTGACTGTCTTTGTGCTTCCTTTGTGAGCTCTGATTTAACAAAGTAATTTTTACTAACCTTCCTAATGCTACTTCTGTATTGGGACGTATTATGGCCTTCATTCTGCTGATGCAGAAAT